AAAAAAAAAAAAAAAAAGGAGAGATGGCCAAGCCCCATCTGCCTGACTCCGGAGCCTGTATGCTGGTCCCCTAAGGCCTGGAAACACCCTTCCCTAGCAGCTTCCTGTACTTGGGAGGTGGTGGGATAGGCCTGGGACTTCAAGAGTGGGCTTTATGGTTTGAAGAAAGGCTGCGGCCTCCTGCCTCCACCTGGGCTGGGCAGACAGGCCTCGGTCACCCAGAATCATGAGACCAGGGAGCTCACTTCTGACTCTCCTGGTGAACTTGAACAAGGAGCTTCTCCTCCTAAGCCCAGGCTCAGTCAGCCCTGAAAGGGCTGTGGGAACTCTGGGCTCACACAGGTCACACAGGTAGATGCAGGGAGGCCTGCCTCCTATTCTGAGTCCTCCCTGGGCCCCCTTGGGCTGCCCTCTGGGTGTGCAGCCTCTCCCCATGCCCCTTTGCCCCATGCCAGCTACGCAGCCTCCTGGTCCTCTGTAGAGCGGACTGTCCCCTGACCAGGGCTCCCCCCACCCACCCCAATCAGAGAGTCGGAAGCAAACTCCCCAGTCTCACGATTCTGGGTGACCGAGGCCCATCTGCCCAGTCCAGACGGAGGCAGGAGGCCACCCTCGAAGACCCAGGCCCACCCACCGCCTCCCAAGAACAGGAAGATGCCTAGGGAAGGGGTGGATGTTCCCTGAGGATCCCTGGTTCTGTGCACACTTGTGATCATTTACATGTGTCATTTTTTTTTTCCTTTTCCTTTTCTTTTTTTTAAGAGACAAGTTCTCACTCTGTCACCCAGGCTGGACGGCAGTGGTGCGATTATAACTCACCACAGCCTTGAAGCTATCCTCCCATGTCAGCCTCCCCAGTAGCTGAGACTACAGACATCTAGCATCACGCCTGTTTAGTTTTTTTAATTTATTTTTTGTATAGATGGGGTCTTACTATGTTGCCCAGGCTGGTCTAAAACAACTGGACTCAAGCGATCCTCCCGCCTTGGCCTCCTAAAGTGCTGGGATTACAGGCGTGAGCCACCGCACTTTCATTGTTTTTTGTTTGTTTGTTTTATTTATTTATTTTTTTGAGTTGGAGTCTCACTCTGTCACCCAGACTGGAGTGCAGTGGCCGCTCCCGGCCACCGCAGCCTCCACCTGCTGGGCTCCGGCGATCCTTCCGCCTCAGCCTTCCGAGTAGCCGGAACTACAGGTGCGTGCTACCACGCCTGGCTCATTTTTTAAAAAATGTATTGTAGAGATGAGGTCTCACCAAGTTGCCCAGGCGGGGTCTCGAACCCCAGGGCATGTGCAGGCTTGTTACATGGGTATAGTGCGTGATGGTGAGGTTTCGGCTTCTATTGAACATGTCACCCCCATCGTGAACATGGTTCCCAGTAGGTAGTTCTTCAACCCCTCCCCCTCACCCCAGGAGTCGAGGTAATTCTTTCAATCTCCACTGGGCTGTGAGCTTCTCAGGGACAGAGAGGGCGTCGGCTTGACTCTGTGGCATGCCCCACACCCTGAGCAGTGCCAGGCACCCAGTCACTATGTACGGCTTGCCTGCGACTGCTATAGCACTCCTGCCCTTTGCAAAATTCTGGGTGCTGGAGGCAACCCCCAAGGGGCCAACTCATTCACGTCCCCTCCCTCTGATGAGAGTCGAACCTCAAGGTTGCCATTTTGGCCAGGCTCAGTGGCTCAGCCTGTAATCCCAGCACCTTGGGAAGCAGAGGCGAGTGGATTTCCAGAGCCCACGGGTTCGAGACCCACCTGGACAACTTGGCGAGACCTCGTCTCTACAATTTAAAAAAAATTGCCATTTGATTGGCCTGTGGTGCACTCAAGCCCAGTTCAAGACCGATAAAAAAAAACACACAAAAAACAGCCTACCAGCTTAATGAATACTGTCATAGAGGGAGGAGTGGGGCCTGGCCCCAGGGACCCAAGAGCCGCGGTCAGTGACCTGGTTAACCCCGTCTGGGACCTGGAGACACCTTTGACACCTTCCCGTTCGTGGAAGCAGTTTCAAGCAGCCAGGCCTCGGTGCCCGGCTCACGGGGGTCGGACTGCTCAGAGGGAAGCTGGGAAAAGCGGGCGTAGGTCCAGGGCCCACGCGTGCCCCGCCGAGGCCCAGGCCCAGGCCAAGCCCAGCGCAGCAGCAGGACTACATTTCCCAGAGTCCCGCCGGGCCCCGGGATGAGCCATCGGCAGATTTAAATAGCCCAGGCCAGGCCGC